AGACATAGTTCAAGTCTGAACTCTTTGTAAAACCTTACCTGATTTCTCCAGGCTCCATTTTCCTCTCTCCCTCCCTCCCTTCCTTTCCGTATGTACATATGCATGTATGTATATCTCTGAAATCTTTCTGGACTTATTCTTTGTTCTGCTGCGTAGTTTGGTCTCTATGGTCTCTATGATGCAAATGTTTCATGATATACCGTCACTTTGTATGAGATGGTCTTACTTGCTTACATAGGCTTTGAGCGATGTAAGAGCGGACAGGTTTCTCTGTGTATCCTCTCCTTTGATGCGTAACACCATGAAGAGTAGAGAAGAAATGTGTGTGTTTCACATTGGTACTGTTAGTAAAATGTACCAATAAGCATACCAAGATGATAATGCCTCTTAAGAGTACTTAAGATTGCAGTAAGGGATCAGAAATGTTCCATGTCAAGTAAAGTGTAATTTGTAACCTATTATAAATGTTGAGAGATAGTAATTGTGGTTGGGTTAACATCTGGATCTTCACACCATCTTCATTTGGCCTTTTAATTTAATTGTGTAGTGTGATAATTGCTTCTGTCTTTCAGTGAAACTATAATTCTTCTGTTTCTTGAACTCAACCTGCACTCCCTGTCTCTTTGCCCTTGGCCATGTTCTCCTTCATTGAGAAGTCTCAGCTCAGGCCCGTGTCCACCTGTCAGTCTCCTGTTCACCAGGCCGTGGGACTGTCCAGCAGTAACAGGTTGGATGTCAGTTTACAGCCCAGTTAGTCAGTTAAAGAAGCATTTGCAGTAATGGTGTAAACCCACGTTTACGGACCTAGCTCAGGATCGGAAAATACTTGTTAAGTGAAAACGTTTTAAAAACTATGGTATGGTTTCCATTTTTGTAAATGAAGACTTTTTAAAATTTCTACTCATTCTTTTCCTTTAACAGATATTTATTTAGTGACTACTGTGTGCCAGGCGCTACATCTATGTGCATAGAAAAACCCTGGAAGGTCATACTTTGATATATACGCAGTGGTCATCTCTGCTTGCTGAGATAACAGGTGACTTTTTCAAAATTTGTTTCTGTCTTCATTTGCAAACTTGTGTTTTCTAATTTTTCTATAAAAACATATATTATTTATTAATAAGGAGCTAATATATTTAAAAAACACTTCTTCAAAATGCTTACAATGTGATGTTACATGAAGAAAAGTGGGTTAAAAACA